TGTCTTTTCATGCACTCGAAGAGGGTCGTAAATTTTCGCCTAATACAAGGACTTTGTTTTCGCGTTCTCTGGGTCTCACGCTTTCTCTAAGCACATGTTCAATGTTACGTTCCCGCGTCTTGGCGGAGCCTCCACCACCACGCGGCTGAGGGTGGACCACAGCCAGGAGAAGGGGCCCACATCGGACAGGGGTGGACTCCTCCACCATTGGACAAGGGATGATCCTGAGGGAGGATCCAGGATTCAGCGAGGAAGGGGCATCGATCCGCATCACCCGAAGATCTCCTCCGCCAAGCGCAGAACGATCAGACTAATTTTGTATTTCACACGCTCGAGTTGCTCTTGTTAAAAAGTACTTTGACAATTATCTGAATAAATAGTTGGACTTAGTCGTTTTCCATCTTAAATCTGTTTCGAATCATTTCTACACACCGCGAGCAGAGCGCTCAGCGCTCCACGGGTTAACTTATCCACATCCTAAAATCCCTAGATCGCGAACGGTAAACGCAACAATACAAACAGAATCTATGTTTATAATGTTCTGTTCTGTTCTTTATTTTCTCTTACGAGAGGGCGCTTGGGAGGTTTCCTCCCAATTGGCCCATACATATAACTTACATATATTCAAACTTAACCTAAACTATCCGCTTCCGTTACTTCACACTACTCACTCCCTCTGCCTGCCAGATGAAAAATGATACAGTGAAATCTCACTAACTAGTATTTACCCATATGAGTTTTTCCTAAGTTCTTTTCATGTAAATTTTCTTGCTCTCTAATGGTACTTTACCACCACTATAGTGTATGAGAGATTTTTATAATCACATTCGGCTGATAAATTGTATTCATTATCAGTAGTGGATGGAGCCAAATTTAACTGGTCCCACCTATAATTTTCTGTGTCTGCAGGCTACAAGTCCAGTTAATGAGACTGCACTGCACTTGCAAGTATACTCAGACCTTGACAAGACAGGTTCAAATCTTTTATAAGTACTTAAAAAAATACAAGACTTTCAAGTATAAGTAAACCTTGACCCAATATATTCAAACCTTTTATAAACACTTTGTTACTCTTTTATCTTTCCTTGTATACTGCTCATACAGATCTGTTTATAATATTGAATTATATTAAATGTATCTTTAGAATTTTGTTTTTTAGACTTTGAGTACTATTTTTATTACATTATATTCTTTCATGTTATACAATATTTATAAGTACATTCTTGATTTCTACCAGTACTCATTTGAAGATTCTGAAGCAGTTTGTATGACCTGAGTACTATGCAAAAATGTAGAACAAAACAGTCTCTGCCGATTAGTGTTTGAAACATAAAGTTGAACTTTTGCATTGGACTTATGAGTACATATAAAACTTGATCCCATCTCTAATCATAATCAGAAATCTATAATTCCTAACTAAAGATGTGGATACATACCTCTTTGTAAATGTTTAACAGCCTCACCAAAAAGTTCCATTTCAAGAAGAGCAAGACCCAAAAAAAAATGACCTTTTACCAGACATGGATCAATATCGAGAGCCCGTCTGCAGTCTTGACAGGACGATTCCCATCGTTTTAATTTTAGGTTACACAATGCCCGGTTCGTGAAGTATAATGCTTGGGTTGGATTTTTAATCTGCAGGAATAAGATGCAGTGTCGTAACTTGCCTGCATATGTTCATAGTGACACTCACAATTGCTTTGGTGTAGCAGTACGCAGCATCCTCATATTTGTGAAGATTGAAAAGTCGATTTCCTTGTTCCTTCAACTCCTTGTCGGAGAGATTAGCGGTTGTATACATCTTACTCATTTTGGCAACAAATTTTGTGCCGTATTGGACAGTTTTCTACATATGAATTCTTATCTGCTAACAAAACTGATACTTTTTTCAGGAATAATTACCTGAATTGAAAACAAATTGAACAATAAAATAATATTGTATAACCTTAAACAAATGCGCGATCTTCCATTTTCCTCGTACATCTGTCAATCATTAACTAAAGTGTGACAAAGAAGTATATAAACAAAACTGAAGGATGTTAAGGCGCGTTTAGATTAAGTGACTGAATGGTCGTATTTTTATGTCTTTCCCTATGACTACGTTTCCATCGAGGGTCCAAATCGGGTCAGAGTCGGGTTAGAGTCGGGTTAGAGTTAAGTTGCCTTGCCTGTTTCCATTGGATCAGAGTTACGTTGGGGTTGGAGTTGGGTTGAACATTACCAACTGCACAAAGTCAACTACCATATTCTGACATGTAAAGGAGAGCAATATTAATTTTACAATATCAAAATAACATACAAAAATTATTTCTCAGATTACAAGATCACCGACAAAAAGTAATAATAACCTCTTCTACACCGATTAATACAGCACGTGCTGCACAATGCAATTTGGATTTGTTATGTTGGCAATACGAACTCGACTCTTGTCGTTTCCACCGAACCTCAACTGAACGCTACCCTACAATTTTGTAGGGTAGAGTTCAACTAAACCTTTGGCGTTTCCATCGTACAAGCGCTGACCCCAACCCGACTCTAACCCGACTCTGACCCGATTTGGACCCTCGATGGAAACGTAGTCCATCTTACATATATTCAAACTTAACCTAACCTATCCGCTTCTGTTACTTCACACTACTCGCTCCCTCTGTCTGTCATACACCAATCATCCACCCTCTCTTGCTTCCAACTTCACTTAACTCTCTTACAGTCCCACTCCTCACTCTTCCAAAACCTTAGTCTATGCACTCGCATGTGCAGCGTCACTTATATAATTATGAATATCTGAATATAAAAATATAAGATAGTAAAATATTGAATACAAAATACAAAGTCTATATAAGTACATAAGTACAAAAGCATATGGTAATATATATAAAAGGACATATAACATGTATCTGAGCTTAAACATCATATATAAAATATAAAATATAAACTTTCAAACATTCTCGACAACAGTAATACCTTATCTATAGAATATCACTTATCACCCTATTATGGACATCAGTCTCAAACTCCAAACCTACCCCTTACATTTCTAATTTGCACTTTCTAATAAAGGCCCCTATTAATCTTAGGACCTTTGCTTCCCCCATTTCTTTGGTTTCGTGCATCACAGCTCCGATTCTCACTCCATTCCTTATTATTCTATCCCTAAAACCTACTCTCTCTCTCTCAAATCTCTCGCATACCCACATCACATGTTCCAAATCCTCACACTGATCCCCACATTCACATGCAGGTGATCCCTTTAAATTTTTCCTAAACAGCGACCATCCTAAATTATAATGGTCGGCCCTCATCCTGCTCAAAGCACATATCGTCCTCCTCTCTAGATTACCCACACTTACAAACCACGGTGTCCTATTCCCCACATTATTCCACTCCGCCTCAAAATATTTCCTTCCCTTATACTCCCCCTGTCTTAGATTCTCTTCTACAGATCTCTTCCAATTCCTCTCTCTAATCATCCTACATACATCTTTGAATGACCACTTCATATCTCCATCCGCCTCTCCTATCGTACATGCCTTCGCAATCCT